ATCGTCGGATCAAAGTCTACTCTTATTTATGTGATGTGACTAAAGTGTGACAAGCTGATCCAGTCTTTTCGGGTCTGCTTACTGAGTTTACAAGCCGTGGGAAGTGTAAGCGGACCTAAGCTAAGCTAAGCTAAGCCGATGTTACCAAACTGGCCCTCAGTTATTGCCATGCTAGTGAACTTTCCACTCGAATTTTGGTTCTTTGAACCTAGAGGTCTTCCCTGTTGTTTTGCCAGAGCCCTAGATGAAGACCTTCACGAGTCAGGGTCTTCAACAGGTACCTGTGGGTTTGATCCATGTGAAAACCTGTGGGTTTAGTGACCCGCAGGTCAGGTACCCGTTTCCCATGGATCACTAACAAGTCACGGGTCAGGCTCTCTACTTTTACAAGTACCTGTGGGTCAGACTTATTTTTTGCTGTAAATTAATTTGTAGCCCTCCAATCAAATTATTTCAGGTCTCAGATAAATGTTGGCTAAGTATGTGGCAATCTTAACACTTGTGTAGTAAATGTACAAGTACATACCATACTATTTTGGGAATATACAATAAAATATCAGTTGTAATAGTTTATATTATGAGCAATACACTACATAACATATTTTATCTTCAAGATAGATAACAGCCACTCAATTTTTGTTTCTAGAACCAGTGACAAAAACTTTATCCTGAATGATTAATTGAATTTTTGAAAATTGTGGCACCATGTGTTTACAGAGGAAATGTTACTCATAAAAATCTGAAAGATGGGACATTGTGTGGATATCAACAATTTGCACAAATTACATTTCTAGACCCTATCATCAAGCTCAATATCTCAAGGTAGGGATGAAAACATATGCCAGAAACAAGTAAAAAAGTGTTCCTATTCCTCAGGTAGGCCATGAACCTAAATTACTACATTTATTACGAGGCCGACTTTAGGAGGACTCGTCCTTACTAACCTTGACTCGCGCAGGTGGCTGTGTTGCTGTTGGGACATATCTCCGGATAGACATGATTGCCGCTTTTGCCGCTCAAAGTCAAGTGACCGGTCCAACCACAAACCAGCTACCGGTGGCACTTGACCTCGGAATTGCACTAAAATTATTAGGCCTCATACATGCCGCGTGAAGCGACGGCCTTTTTCCTTCATGTAATCTAGAGGCAAGTTAACCTCCTTACAAATTTTTAGATTTTTTGGCGATGCCATTGTTGATAATGAGTGGCTGCAACATTGGTGAATGCTTGGAAAAGTCACATGACTTCAATTTTAGTGCCCAGACAATGTTGCTGCTGCTTTTTCTCAACAATGGCATGGTCAAAAAATCTAAAAATTGGTACAGAGGTCAATTGAATACTAGAGATGGCAACGGGTTACCCATGGGTCAACCCGGATCCGTACCTGTGGGTAATTGACTTAAAAAGTCCTGACCCATGACCTGTGACTGACCTGTTCATACAGGTACCCATGGGACAGGTCAAAATTATTGGAATTAAATAAGTGACCAGACTGGGGATTGAACCCAGGCCCTCCTGGACATATACCAGTAGCTCTACCACTGAGCTATCTAGCCATTGGTTCCCATGTGTTACCAAGCATCTAGTACAGGACTCAATCCAGCTACTAAGATCTTAGTCAACACCCTGTGTCAGATTACCTAATCCAACAAAAATACCCACAGGTCAAGGGTTACCCATGGGTTTGCAAGGTTGCAGATCAATTGCAGGTATACCTGCAGGTACCCTCACCATTGCACAAGCAACCTCCCATGTAAGTATGGTTCATCTACTGAGTTTGGGCAAACATTTGTTATATGTCAAGCTAGGAGTAACAAATTTGACTATTTCGTACACAATTGTGTAGATGAGATATGCCCAGCTGTTTTCCATCTCTAGAAGTACTTGCAGAAAGTTTGTGCTGGTGAGTTATTCATAGTCTAAAAATTGTGGCACTACATATTGTCAGGAGAAGGATCAATAATAAAAATATGTTTTTAATGTCAGTTTGTAGAATTTATTGAACAGATGAAATTTCATTTCTATAACTTGTCCAGAAACTTACTTTTTAAAGATCTGTCAAACAAATAACTTCAGGGTCAGCAAAAAATACATGTTTGGATACACTTTTTATCTGTAGCTCACTCAATAGTTATTTTCTTATATATATGGGCTAGAGTCCTTGCTATGGCTTCAATATGAGACACTAAGTGTGGAGAATGAACAGTTGGTTATTAAGATATGAGCAAGACAATAATTTATTTGAAGTGATTCTGGCACAAAAAATAAATAACAGTGCAAATAATGATATTCACAACATGCTCCATAAATCAAACTTGTAGCAAGGAAAATAACCTTTATCTCAGTATACTGTGCATCAAGGATGAGTAAAAAACACAAAGGATATATGCAAAAGGCCTGGAAAAAGGCCTGCAAATAAAGTAATCTCAACTGTAGCTTGCTCAATATTTGTTTTGTGACCAATATAAGTGATAAATATTCACTTCATTAATATGGCTTCAATATGAGCTACTAAGATGGGAAATTGAGTGCTTGGCTGTTGAAATTTGAGCAAGAAGACAATAGTTAGTTTTTAGGGAAACAGACACTGAATAACTGTGCAAATAATAATCACAACATGCTCTATAAATCAAATTTGTAGCAAAATTGGAGACCTTCAATTTGATATACAGTTCATGAAAAATAATAAAAAGTTTGAAAAACATGGTACCTGTGGGTACCCACAGGTAAGTGGAATTTCAAGAACACTGACCCGTGACCCATACATGACCTGGATCTGTCAAGGATCCGGATCCACGGGTCACTATACCCATGGGTTTTCTAACGGATCAACCAATGGGTACCCATTAAAAGGCATACCCGTTGCCGTCTCTATTGAATACTAAAGATCATGTATATGTAATTTCTTTCTTTGTTTACAAAGTACTTACACTTCATTTACAATGTTTTTTAAGTTTTATCTTATAATATTGGACATATGTATTTACCTAGAGTCCAAATGTAAATACAAAAATAAGTATTATTTTATTTTTCAAGTTCTGTATTGCTTGACCCATGGATACCTGCAGACTCGCAGGTCAAAAACCTGTGGGTCAGGTACCCGTTTCCCATGGATCTTAAATGGGTCACGGGTCAGCACTTTTTGACCACGAGTACCTGTGAATGGATCACAGGTATACCCGGACCCTGACTCGTGAAGGTCTTTAGCCCTAGAGCCATGAGCAGGAAAAGTGTCTACAAAAACTAAGGGTTTGCTCATACTAGTAAACACATAAATAGAAAATCTGCTGCAGAAAATGGAATCTGCAACTCCAGAGTCGCAGTTCGCAGAATCATGCAGAAATATTTAATTCATTTCTGCGCTGATTTCTGTGATCATTTCTGTGCTAGATTGACTGTACCTGAATCAAAATATGCACTAGGGTTAGAGTAAACATGAACATCCCAGGCTTGAGGTTTAGGGCCAAGTACTGGATTATTACCATAGGAGGTAGCCATGAAGCCCCAAATCAGGTTGCATGGTAGCTTAAACTAAGTTCCCTGAAACTATCAGAAAAAGCAGTAACATACAGGGTGATGGGAGCATGTTTTTCAAGGTGTTGGCAAACTCATTCCATTGGTATGCAACTGTGGTCGAACCCACAAAGTCTTTCATGAAAATGTTACTTGTATTTTGCTTCTTGATACTCTTCTGCACTTACCTCATTCCCTATCTCAATATGCTTCACATTGAAAGGAGTGGTATGACCAAGGGATGACCAAGTGAAGATCTTATTGCAGCTGTTAAAAAAGACAAGTCTTTGAATGAGATCATTAAATATCTATCACTCATTGAGCACATACCTGCTGCACTTTGGGTAACATTTCCAATGGCAAGATTGATCTAGAGACCATAGTACCTAAGAACACCGATGATTCATAGTAAGGTACAAACCACTAACCTGATCAATAGCCTGTTGGATATAAGTTTGAATGTCCCCTTGAGCAACACTTTGTCAGTCAAGAGAGTAGCCTGCATTGATTTCAGACAAGCTAAATGCATATCATCCCATTAAAGAAATGGGCAGTCACTTTTGCGCAGCATGTACAAGGCCCTTACCACATGACAGGAAAGAGATAAGATTACAGATACAGAAGCAAACGGGGAAGCGAAAGATGACCGGGAAGCGAAAGACTTAACTTTTGGGACATTCAGAGCAGCTATTGAGGAGCGGTTTTTTTTCTACAGGGCCTGTCAAACATGTACTTTAATACTATGATACCGTTGATACATCAATTCTACGTTATATGTCCAAGAAAAATGAAATACACCAAAAAATCCAAGAAAAATGCAAAAAATGCACAGGATCAGCATTTATGGCTCGTATTGGCTTCTTTCTTCTTCTGAACCTTCAGAATACATGATATCCCACCAAAATTAATGTTTGGACTCATAGAATGATTTTAGGAGGAGGATGCAAGAGGTTGTACTGTTGTAGAGGGTGATTTTGCGTATGCATTGTTACTTAAAATGGTAATTTCACGTGATCTTTCGCTTCCTGGTTTTTGCCTATTTGCAGGCTCCCAACAAGATGTGAAGATTTCGAGCACAACAAAAGCTCAGAAAAATCTGGAAAATTTTGCACACTATTCTACGCTTTATTTGATCCAGATGGAAAAAAAAAACTATCTAAATTGAGTGAAATGGCAGTGTTCTGGGCCGATTTCATGTTTTTATTTCGCTTCCCCGTTCGCTTCTGTATGCCAAATGGGTTTGTGTAATGAAAAATAAGCGCCTGCAGAGATGCAGGTTTAGTAAGGATGAGTCCCCCAAGGGACCTCATAACACAGCTATGATAGGCTCATCTCCTATATCCTTGCACCAAGTGAGATACTCATAAAGCTCCAAACCACTTTGGCGTCAATTATTGTTATCACTGAATTCATTATAGGATCACTAGGAATTATTACATACTCAGTGTTCATATCTGCAGTCTCCTTGGTGTTCTGGACAGGACGTAGTAAGTGGACCAACAGTGTTATTCCATTGCCATCGTTGAGCCCTACTTGGTCTCTACAAAATCAGTGGTGAGAAGGATGGCAGCATCTGGGAGATGCTGTCACGGCTCACCCTGTAGAAAAAAAGGTTAATTTGAATTTGTTAGCATATGAGAGGATACTCACAAGGTTGTTTCTTCCAGGGAACCAAAAAATGTCAGATTTCATGTCAGCAAGCACCTGTTGATTGTGTTTAATCAAATTAACTTATCACGTTCAGTAATCTTTGAGCAGACAAACCTGGGTGTCATACTCCCAATGTCAACTATCAGGCTTAATTAATCCTGGTTTGAATATCTTTCTCTCCAATCACTTGGCAATACACTCAATGTTCATCTCTTACCTCTGGTTTGCAATTATACTTCTCTCTCATCTCTATTTAGTTGTGTCAATACCTTCCATCCAAATGACACTACTACTTACAGAGGTGGCATCTAGAGATGTCCCACCCTAACTGGGTCATTAGGGTTAGGGTGGGACATCTCTAGATGCCGCCTCTGTAAGCCTAACAAGCCTTTATTCAACTAAGAACACCACCATTTCCAATCATTTCAATTAGTCGGCAATAGATTCTTGATGACTATTTCTCCTCCAATCACTCGGCAATACACTTGTATGTTGTTGAGCAAAAGCGACGGATAAAACAGTATCGGTAAGGTGGAAGTCTGAGTGAAAGTGAATGATATTGCAAATGGTGAGTATGGACATGTTAGGGGTTGGTGACAGTGTACTAAAGGGAATATAAAAAGAAGGATGAGGAGGAGGGTTCCTTACATAAACAATACCCACAAAAGGCGTGAGTTCCCACCGGGCTGCAATGGCCTCAGTAGGCAGACGGGAACTGAAAATCCATTTGTCTGCCAAATGATCGAGAACTTGCAAATTGGTGTAACTGCACAATAAGACCCACTACTTAAGGTAGCAGGAATCATTTCATGTCAGTCGTGCCAATGTCCGGTCTGGGCAAAATTTTTTGCCCTTGACCCAGACCTGGAGGTTCAGTCCACCTCTCAGCTGGCCCCTGGCCTTGGACCAGGTCCAGCCTCAGACCCCAACAGAGCAGAGGAAAAAAAAATTAAGTAAGAAAAAATTGAAACAAGTCAAAAGAAAATCATACATAGTATTATTCTGTCGCTATTGGCAAGGGGAGAGACTGGAAAAGGGTGAAATTAATGCATTTTGAGACATCCAGGCCTCACTGTTTGTGATGGCCATTGGCAATAAAATCTTGTTTGTAAGATGTACCCCTCCAAAAAGGAAAATTTTTGTTGCCTACAGCATAAAATCTTATGAGGTCACAGGTCCCACAAAAATTTGTTGGTCACAGTCACACTCACTGCCTGAAATGGTACAGTATACCAACATGAGGGCCAACCAGGTCCAAACCAGGTTGGACCTGGTCCACCAAAAATCTCAAAGCCTTGACCATTGACCCGGCCCTTCAGGTCTGGGTCGGGCATTACACAGCCACTGGACCCGGACCTCAGGGTCAGTCCGGGCTGGGTCAAGGGCCGACGGG